GGAGGGGGCGCGACTTATTTAAACGTGTCCGTGAACGCAATAACTTGAGTAATTTTAGTCCGATTTTGATTAAATTTGGCTTAAAGGTGTAAGATGGGATAATCTTAAATGAGTTGGCAAATCAGCATGATCGCACCATGGGAACGGGTGTTTACAGGGGGTTTTATGGGGTAAAAATTGAATTTTCTCATTTTTGACCCTCTAACACAAACATTTTTAATTTCTCTCTAAACCATTTTAAAAAGCTTAAATAATCAAATGGTTTAGTATATTAAAGTGTTTTTTGTAAGATTTTTGGTTAGGAAGAAAGTTCAAAAAATTATAAATTTAAAATTCCCATGTTATTCTTAAGGGGAATAATTTAGCTGTTGTAGTTTGCTTGTTTACAGATATATTTTCATCAAACTTGGCAAATCAACTTAATTTATAAGCTATTGATATTTTACTATAAAACACACATCATTACCCTCCCTGTAGCAGCAAACCTACGTACGTGTTAGGCATAATGTTATTTAAATAGATTTAATTAAAAGTCCAATCGGGCAAATGGAAATTCGCTTAGTCTGCAGGTTTGCTGCCGCGGGGGTATTTTCATACAAAGTTGCACTGTCCTAAATTTACTTTATCAATGGTTTTTGTCAAAACAACACTTAATTTTTCCCGCTTTAAAAGGTATATTTAAGCTGGCAATAGTATGAATAAACTCCAGAATAAACTTGGACAATGGTCTAAAAACATAACATAAGCATGGTATTCAATAAATAATGTACAGGATACAGTAATATTTAAAAGTTTTACTATTATATATTTTAAGTACAATCAGAAAGGATTACTAACATAAAATAATATTTGTACAAATTGGATTAACTACCTTCAATATGATACCTAATTTTTAATGGGTAGATCAGTAATAATTATATAGGAGCCATGAAAGTCAATAAGTTTGTTCTTTAGATGTATAGTAGTAGGCTTTATCCATATTTTACATCTAAAAAAGGCGTCCATGATAAAAAGGTCATGTGACGAGACCAACCCCCACCACCGTGCCAGGCCGAGCCGAACGATTCCGAATCATACCGAAAATAGGCGAGGTCCTAGAACACCGTGTATCGTCTGTCTGGAAACGGTACAGCGGAATTAAAATCGGAACAAAGCATCGGAGCAATTTCTTCCAATCCCGAGCCCTCTTTAAACACTGATAGGAACTGAGCAGCCATTTAATGATGTTATGTAATTAATTAAGTACTGTATTATGAATTATTTGTAGAATAATTATTAAACAAATAAATACCTATATATATGTCAAACTAATCCTTCGATCATCCTCAATATATAATATCCTTATAAAAAAATTCTTTTTTGTATCCTGGAAAATAAATTATGAAAATCAATCTACTGATATTTAGGCAAACATTCTAAATAAATGTTGAAGCATACTTTATAGGCCTAGTTTAATGCAATATGTGAAAATATTTTTATTTTTATTTTTGTATAAACAATGTTAACAAGTCAGTAGATACTTTTTTTAAACATATACCTTATTCTAATTACTGTTAGTATCTATCCGTAGTATTATCTAAATTTATTTATAAGAAAAAAAATTTAATTTATGCCATTCTAAATTTACAGGTAGGCCCATATAGAGCCATGAACAAAAATAGTAATTTATGCCCAATGTTAAATTACTGTAGATCTTCAAAAATTATTTCTTCTACAAATAATTCAACAATAATATTTACATTTATTTACATAGATCTATTTACAATCTCCTTCACCTTGGAAACTGGAACATAACAATTTAATGTTTGACCTATTATGAGGAAATAACCCGGGCGTTTTGACAGCAACAGTGACAGACCATTTTCCGCGTACGGTTCAGCTATGCTCTGTACGATTCGGTGGGGGTGAAGTGTTCATCAATGCGCGGTGGTGGGGGGTGTTCCTCCAGAGAAGGTCTCGTTGCAGGGTGCAGGTGCAGTTGTAGACATGTTCAAGGGTGCATGCACGACGCGCCGCTCACGTTGCCGTTGAATCCTGTGAGTGATGACTGCCTCTGCCGCACCGCGACCGCTGGCATCGCACCGTGCCGGCATCCGGCTTCACTACTAAACCGACGATTGCCTTTGAGTTGTGTATACTTTATTGTGTACACATTTTACTGCATCTAAATCAGTTTTTTGTATATCTGTATATCTTACCGTTCTCAAGCATTGCGCGTGTAAGCGTGGTTTAAGTAATATTCGCCCCCTCCCCCCTTTTTTCTTTATATCGGAAGAAGCACACAGGGGACGGTAGGGGACTTTTAGGATATGGTCAGCTTTATATCTCGCATTTCCGGGTTCCCATGATTTTTTTACCTAGATTGACTGGGCTATATAATCCGATAGCTGCATACTCTTGTTTCTTCTTTGAACTTAATTGTGCAGAATATAGGAATTTCAGACATGGTTACATCCAAGAAGTGAGAAAAAAGTTTCTTATACCATTTTATCATTTTTTTAGCTGAACAGTTGAAAGACAGTTGCATATTGCCAATATTGATAGCCCCCATGTTTTTGTTGTAGTCCACCACTGACAAGGGCTTTTTTATTTCCTTGCCAGTCTCCCAGTTGTTTTTCCGTATGCCAATCATGCCGCTGGTATGCATTATTCTAACTTCTCTTTTGTCCTGCCAACATAGGTACATCATATTTTCTGTGCAACGTATATCTTTTTTTACCTACATCTAAGGGGTCTAGTTTTTTTTTGTAAACCCTGTCGATTTACTGTACCACACATGTTTCTGTTGCGCTTCTTCAGTTCCTGTGCTAGTTACGGTGAAACATACCAATTGTCTAAATACAATTTATGCCCCTTATCGAAGTCGGGTTCTGTTAGTACTTAGTGTTAGCACCACTTGCCCCGTTATGTCTACTTTTTCTTTTAGTTCTGACAACTCAAGTTCGGTTTCTGATCCTAAATAAGGAAGAATGTTCAAAACATATCCAGTTAGACAGTCTGAGATCACAAAAATTTGAATTCCAAAGCAAACTCGCTTTGAAGGAATGTACTGTCCTACTGTCTAAAGGCTAGCTAACCCTTATACAGAAATAACGTCTCATCTATTCCCAGTTTTTCAAAGGGCTTGAATTTAGATGCAAACATTTTGTTCAACGTACATAAAATTGGTCAAATTTTGTGAATTTTGCTTATTGATTTTGGATTGGACACAAACCATTGGATGAAGTAAAGCGTTTTATGTTTGATTAATGATTCCTACTCATAACCTGTCCAAAGATCTTTGTTTCTAGCAGTGAATCTGTAGACCAAAATTTTATTTTTGCGGACCTGAGATGTTAGAATACACGAGGCGAGGAAGCAGAGAATTTCATCTTCTTCAACCAGTTTCCATGTACTAAGCTAGTCAACAGAAGCATAATTTGGCAGTCTGGCAATTACATCAATAAAATAAGAATTTGTTTCTAATACAATATGAGTTATCAGTTCCACTGTACAAAGCTGCAAAAAAATTTCTAAATAAGTTAATAATTCTCTAGGAATATCATTATCGATACCAGATGCTGAGTTGTCAAAGTCAAATAATGTGAGAAAGAATGTCTGGTTTGATTTCCATGGAAATGTTATTTCTAGCTTTTTATTCCATTTATTTCCCTTTTTTTAGCTGCACGCACAGGCCTCGCAGGTATACCTGTCTACCGTTACGCCTAGGCCGACCTCTAATATTATTCAAAGGCCTATCTGTAGTGTTAGACCTATGTTCCTGAGCAGTAAATATGTCTAAGCAATAAGAATAGCATTGCATCATCTTCTGCCTCAAAAATATGCATTGTGTTCTCTGCATCATAATTTTCCTGGTGAGCAACTAGCCCTGGCATTGTTTCACCACTCTCATTTACATCAACATCCATATATACAAGGTCTTGTTCATCTACAACTAACCCTAAGTTTGCATCATTTTCATTCTCAGTAATAACACAATTTTCTTCAAAAATATTCCTGATAGTACTAAGCATATAATTGTCCTCAGGTAGGCCTAAATCATAATCACTGGTACTTACAAAATATACACTATTTACATCATTTGGGTCAAAACAACTTGGGCCAGGATTCAGGAATGGGATAGTCGTAGAGGTTAGTGAACTTGATGCATCTCCAGCAGGTCCAGGAACACTTGTCGCCGTAGATCGTGGATGATAATAGATAAATCCCTCTTCACTGACACTTTCATCGTCTGATAAGTCACTGAAATCATCTCGAGACAAATATTCTGATATTTCGTTATTTCGAAGTTTGATAGACTGCAAAGCCATTGCACAATGTTAAGCAAAACACAAACAAACAAAAAAACAACTCGCATACATATAACTTCAGTACAGTGACAGCTGGGAGCGGAATTTAAAATGATTGGGAACTAGCAGTGATGCAAACTAATAGAACAAAACAAAACTTCCCATGATTCCCCTGAACAGATCAATATTAAACACAATGTAATAGTGTAGCAGTTGACAGGAAAAAAAAACAACGAAAATAACAAGTTGACGTCAGCTCGCATATGTGGGGGCATGGACCGCTAGCGCGACAGTCGTCTGCTCGCATATATGCGAGCGTAGACTCCAAGAGGTTAAAAGATGTTGTTTCTGTTTATCTGTTATTCACAGTTGTACGAGTTTACATTTCTTGTAACATTACAAAGTAAGAGTTGCAACAATTGAAGTCAACCTTGTTCAAAAGAGAATTAAAATAGTTTAATACAAGTTTAAAAACACCTCATAAAATGTGTCATAAAATTTTTAGCTCTATATTTCTTATTAGTACTAATGTTTGGATATAAAATTTAAGTTTCAGAGGTGCATTACCCATTAAATCAGTAGATCCACCAAAAGGCCTACTATTTCTCAATGTTTTCTCAAGAAAGTATCTAGTATTCTCCAAAACAATACCACTACTAAAATGGCAAATAAAATTGATTACAAGATAATACTTTGATAATTTTGTCTCACCATAGCCATGTTCTGTTCTGTGGTTCCGTCTGATGGGTAATATTCGGCTTTAACTGATGTATAAATTGGTGTAGCTTGGCTCATTGGCAACTGAATCATACTGCCATTGATGTTTACCACTGAAAAACACAATTAGTCTTTTGAAAATAACTGATTTAATTCATAAAGTTTTTAGGCTACAGTACAATTACTAAAATGTACAGAGTTAGTAAAAAGTCTTGAGACCCCCTGTTAATTTTTTTACGGTACTAGAAAAACTAAACTCGGCACACCTATATGGCATGTTATGAAGTACTTTTTGGGCATAACCGCCACTTGGTGTACATCCCCAAAGTGGGGATTTGGGGGAAACTCAAAAATTTCAAATGGTAAGACCCATCGAAAGAACCTCATTTTGAAGGTCCTGGTAAAAGAAAACCAACAACGCAAACTAGAGGTCTCTATCTCAATCCAGTAAAAATAGGGGGCCAATTGAAATTCTCAGAAGTTAAATTTAACTTACAGCTTTCCAAGTCTGGGAACCCCCTGGAAATTTTGTAATGACATGCCGTAAAGGTGTGCTGAGTTTAGTTTTTCTAGTATGGGCCGTTAAAAAATTAACAGGGGGTCTCCAGACTTTTTTCTAACCCTGTATAGTAAATTGACAAGAAAGCAGACTTACCTTTAAATTAATCTATATTTAAATAAATGTATATACAATTAATTATACATACAGGGTGAATAAAAAATCAAGACCCCCCCCTCTAATATTTTTCCAAGTAAATATACAGAGATATCCTTTTGGTGGTCGAGCAATCTTAGCAGGAAGTTTCATTTTATCATTTTGAAATTTTTGAGTGTCCCCCCAAAAGGGGGGATTTGGGGGGCAACTCAAATATTTTGAATGTAAACCCCCTTCAAGTGACACCTCATTTTGAAGTGTTTACAAAAACTTAAAGAATGGTGAAAACTAGAGGTCGCTATCTCTTCTCTATCCCAAATGGTAGCCCGTCATATGTCGTGGAAAATCAATGGTAAAATTGTTAATATTGGCTGTCATTTTGGATAGAGAAGAGATAGCGAGCTCTGGTTTTCACCATTCTTTAAGTTTGTTTAAACACTACAGAATGAGGTGTCACTTGATAGGGGTTTTTAGTTGTCCCCCGAATCCCCCCTTTTGGGGGACACTCAAAAATTTTAAATGTAAATCCCCTTCAAGTGACACCTCATTTTGAAGTGTTTACAAAAACTTAAAGAATGGTGAAAACCAGAGCTCGCTATCTCTTCTCTATCCAAAATGGTAGCCAATATTAACAATTTTACCGTTGATTTCCCACAACATTTGACGGGTTACCATTTTGGATAGAGAAGAAATAGCGACCTCTAGTTTACACCATTCCTTAAGTTTTTGTAAACACTTCAAAATGAGATGTCACTTGAAGGGGGTTTACATTTAAAATATTTGAGTTGCCCCCAGAATTCCCCCTTTTTGGGGGGGACACTCAAAAATTTCAAAATGATAAAATGAAACTTTCTGCTAAGATTGCTCGACCACCAAAAGGATATCTCTGTATATTTACTTGGCAAAATATTAGAGGGGGGGGGGGGGTCTTGACTTTTTATTCACCCTGTACAGAGACTAGGTGTACAGTTGGATTTTTTAGCTAGAAGCAGTTAAGGTGTGGTGGAATATCTTTGAAGATGAACCTATTTGGCAGTAGTGTGATCATGTGTTCAGACCTGTCAAATTTTCAGGTTAAATCAAAACAAACAAACTGGCATATATTCTTGGAATTGACAATAGATAAATATACTTTAAACTTACTCTAGCCTACTTTTATAAAAGTACTTGGCAATTTAGAGAATATTTACTGTGAAATAGAGACGTGATTCCTAATTCAAAATCAACTAATGAATAAGTTGATACTTGATTATTGTCTCCAAATTATAGGTGATGGTTGCTTTGAAAATAGTTAATTATATGAGTAAATATTAAAATATTGAATCTTCTTGCATAAGTTAATTAATTTTAATGTGGTTGCTGTGACTGGGATACACATAAAATAACTGTTGGGACATACAGTAATGATGATTTACGATTAGTTTTGAAATCTCTTATCTAAATACAGACCCGCCTTTTGGGTTTCAAGTTAGGGACCAGAATTGAATACTCTTGAGATGACGAGATAAACCTTTATAATAGACTAACGTTTTGACCCATTTAAATTATAATTAAACGGCTAATTGTATTGCTGATAATTCATTATGCAATCACTAATCAGATCACCTCGTACAAACAGGATAACATTATACGATAGGCCAAGGAAGCAAGATTCGAGTTTGGTTTATAAAATGCAGTAGCCTAAAAACTGAATTTTTTCTTAAAAAATTAGACAATGAAATATACTATATAATTTCATTTTATCTTAAATAGGCATTCTTTTGTAATAATCGTAAGTAATACAACACGGGCCCCTAAATGCCTAATTATTATTGATTGAAAACATGCCAGTTTGTTTGTTTTGATTTAACTTCAAAATTTGACACATATAAACACATGATTCGTTTTGGGGTAGTGTTAGGACGCATTTGTAACCTAATAGTTGAGATTGTCCAGTTGAGATTGTCCAGGGTCAGGTCAAGGCCACACTATACTACAGGCCGGAGTGCCCCCCTCCACTCGCGCTGCTACGTCACTGAATCAGCCGAACGCCCAGCCTTGTCGACGCCCACCGCCATTAGGCTAGTAGCTTACACCTGTCGCATTGCCACCCTTCCTGAGCTTTCTTTTGGTGCCAACTGTAGTGACAAATCCTAATTTTTTAGTTTATTGCCCTACATTTTTAATTGAAGATAATTGAAGATGACAATTAATAGTAATAATGGTGTGTTTTGACAACTTCGTAGTGGAAGATGCCGACCTCATGTTGTGTACCGGGGTGTCGAAGCAACTATCGTGGTGATGAAAAAGTTAACGTTTTTCGCTTTCCTGCTGACCTAGAATATCGCCAAAAATGGTTGAGGTCAATTCATCGATCAGATTATGTGCCCAGCAGACATTCTGTTGTTTGTATTAAACATTTCGATGAACGCTTCATTGTGCGGTAGGACACAGTCGTTAGACCAGATGGTTCGCTATTGACTGTAAAACGCGATCACCTAAAGTTAACACCGGATGCGGTTCCAACTATTTTTGATAATCTGCCGAAATACCTTACTACCAAACTTCCACCTCCTCGTAAATATCCTTTCACCAGGAAACAAGAAATCCAGGAACGTGAGGACGACCACAATCGGCAAGTACAACAGTTGGATTGTATACAATCGCTAAACGAAATAAAAAACAAATATGCTAAATGTGCAGAGCTCACACCTCGGACATTCCATGTCCAGTCTGAGGAAACTCGTATCATACTTTTCTCTACGAAAGGAACAGGCCTAGGAACTTTAAAAGTAAACGTTTCCCTTGTAATCAATGACGATTTGTCATTCAAAGTTTTTTTTTTATGAGATTTGTGTAAATGAAAATCCAGAAATATTAAAAATAATGAATGGGTCAAAACATATGCATCTTTGGTCTCAGTTTGATTCTCTATTGAAATATGTATTTAACAATAACAGTTTACTAGACATTGAATCTAGTACTAATGAGCATATTGAAAATATAAATAATTCAATTAACTATTTAATAGAGGAAAACACGGAAGACCCTGACAAAAACAAAAGGTTAAATTTTCTTAAAGAACAGTTTAATTTAGTTTTTAAAAGTAGAATAAACTAGGTACTGTGTCACTACATTGCTGTGGTTTGCCACACTTATGTTTTCGCACTAAGACTAACTGCTGGTGGCTCTTTCCAGCTGCTTATAAAAATATTAGGGCCTCTAGATTGTTGACAATGCCTCACCCAAAGTATCTGAGTGCATTACACTTAAAGTTAGGAAGTAACTCTGGTCTTGAATGTGGACAAGAGAAATATTTAAAGAAAAAAGTAAACCTACTTAATGAAAATGAGAAACTGTGTTGTTTGCTATTAGACGAAGTGTATGTAATACCTGAAATGAGTTTTAAAGGTGGTAAAATAGAAGGGTTGGTTCACGAAGGTGCAAAAAAAGAGCTAGCCAGTACTGTACAGGTTTTTATGATCTCTTCTATAATGTCAAAGCACAAAGATGTAGTTGGCTTAGTTCCTGTTAAACACTTGACCACCGAGTTGTTGTATAAACTGACCAAGAGTGTTCTCCAAATGCTCACAAAACTAGGCTATAAAGTGCTATGCCTTATATCTGATAATAATAGAGTCAATAGGAATATGTTTGTTCAGTTTTGTGGTGGTGTATTGAAACCTAAATTTGAAAACCCTTTTTGTGTATCTCAACACATTTATGTTCTTTTTGACACTGTTCACTTATTTAAATGTATGAGAAAACAATTGGCTAAATCAAGTTGACAGTAAGCAATCGTTCATATTTCCAAATTTTGAAAACCCCAGTATAATGGAGACAGCTTGTGTCTCAGACCTAAAAGTTCTATATAATAGTGAGGAACATAAATGTGTAAAACTAGCCCCAGCACTTTCAAAAAAGGTTTTATACCCTACCTCCATAGAGCGTCAGAATGTTTTGCTGTGCTGTAAACTGTTCGATGAAAAAAACATTGCTGCTTTAAGGCATACAAGGGAGGCAACAGCTTCAAAAGATTGTGGCACTTCAATATTTTTAGAAATAGTTTTAAAATGGTGGAAAATTGTAAATGTTAAACATAGCTTTAAATGGGTGAAATTCAAGGACAACCTTTATAAGCCTGTTAATAATATTACTGATGACAGTTGTTTATTTCTGAAACAGTTTAGTGACTGGTTAAAATCAACTCGTGATTCAGGGCGAGAAATCAAATTCAAGGAGAGGTAAACTTTCAAATGAAACTCATGTAGCTCTGCTGCATACAGTAACCACTTTATTAGAAGTAATTGAGTATTTAACGAGTGACATGAAGTTTTCCTATGTTTTATTAGGTAAATTCCAGACAGATAGCCTAGAAGCGAGATTCGGTCAGTATAGGCAAATGAGTGGAGCATGTTATCAAATTTCTGTCCAACAAGTACTGCAATCGGAAAATAAGATTAGGGCTTTAAGTCTCAT